TGATGTTCCCCGATCTTTCTAGAACTCATTACGTGTTACCAGGGTCACGTGACTTCCTCTGTCGTAACAATATACAAAAGAAACTTTTACAATATACCCTATACGACGACTTACAAACGTTCTTCTATTAAAGTTTTACAGAAGCGTGACATTTAAACTTAAATAGCACATTTAATATTATCACTTTTCCAGTTTGTCACAATTCTTTTTCTTTTTTCGGGAAATAATACTACTAATAATAATTATGATTATAATTATAATAATAAGAAGAAACATGTCGTATACACACACGCATATTCATAAACAACTGAACACCCATTAATAACATAAACAGTATTATGGTTAAATGAAATGGGCTCTATGTTTGTTACAATATCATTTCAGCTTGTGTGTGTGCAATACAGAATCACTCAAAAAGAAATATAAGGACATCTTGTTTACACTTTTTCAGTTCTTTAGAAAAATTTTGAACAAGCACGAACATTTCTTGGGTCATATTATATAGAATTACAAACTGAATGGTAGTTTATGCGCTAATAGGCTTAATGATTCAGGAACTACTGACAGAAGGAAAGGCAAGTAACTAACACCTACTATCCAAGGGAGTTCTTCTGTCTCTTTGAATAAATGATGTGACATACTGTCACTTTGCTCATGCTACCACTTCTTTAAGCCTAGACTTTTAATTCGCAGCCCGAAACATTAACCATCAGGCAACGCCTAGGGTGTTTTATAGAACTTAACTGAGGCTAATAAATATCACAAGCAATATAAGTATGATTATTTGAAAATTTTAAGAACTATGAAAATTAAACATTTTTTTCGAAGAGCAGCATTAAAAAACAAAGTAAAGCTCAACACTTAGATACTTTCTTTGTGTTTAATTCTGTGGTTAAAATTATTTAACAAACGTTAAACGTTTTTGGATTGTTTTGTAACTTAAGGTCAAAATATAAAGTAATTGTTTTGTTTGTAGTTAAGCACAAAGCTACACAATGGGCTATCTGTGCTCTGCCCACCACGGGTATCGAAACCCGGATTCTAGCGTTGTAAGTCCGCAGATATTCCGCTGTGCCACTGGGGGGGGGGGACTATAAAGTAATAAAGGTGAAGAAAAGGCAAACAAAAATAACCAAGAAACTTAATAAGCCTTTACAAAAGGCACATTAAGAACAAGGTACGACGAGAGAAAAGCTCTTTGGTGGCTCAGCGGTAAGCTTGAGAATTTATAACGTTAAAAATTAGGATTCGATACTTACTGTGGGCACAGCGCAGTTAGTCTATTGTATAGCTTTGTGCTTAAACAAGGAAAATTTAAAATCAAGTTATATAAAAAAAACGAAAATATATTTTGAAGCCAATGTTACAAAACTAAATTGACTTTGGGTAAAATCGAGAAATAATTTGAGAATCATCAGTTGGTGAGAAAAGTTAAATTTGTAACTATTACTATAAATAGACTTGCAAAAGTGTGATGAAATTTCTGTTGTTTAAATTTACGTGACATTTTGAGATAGTATAGATATTATATTTAACTTCATGAATTAGTTAGCCACCTGAACAATAAATATGAAATACTGAAATTATAGGCAAAAAATAATATGATTATAACTGTTAATGTTGTAGTAATTCTTATTTTAACTGCGTCTTAAACTTTCACAGTAAACGTTCATCTTTGATTAATTTAATAAAAATAATAGAATATAGCAATATCTAAGTATATTATCCAAATATTAGTTGTAAGATTCTTGTTTTCATAAGTGTAATTTTAAAATGTTATGAAAGCTAACGCAGACTTTTAAAACAGACATTATAATGCTATTTATCAAATTTATTGTGATACAAGTTTTCGTTTAGTTGTTTATTTAGTTTTAAATCGTTAGACAATATACTCCACAGTTTTAAGTTCCTAATTCACATACTATTACATTTATTACATGTGAACTTATAATCACTCAAGGAGAGATTGTAGTCAAATATTTTGTAATTTGTGTAACAAAGTCCAATTAAAGTTTTAGCTGTTTCATTGCTGCATCAGAAGGATATGGTGTGTATTTATTGTACTTCAGGAGTATGAAAATGTCAAACACTTCTATGGATTTTGAAAAGGTTAAGCTAACAACTACCTGAACGTTTGTCTATTAGATAGGATATAGGTTAATCTAAAAACTACCTGAACGTTTGTCTATTAGATAGGATATAAGTTAATCTAAAAACTACCTGAACGTTTGTCTATTAGATAGGATATAGGTTAATCTAAAAACTACCTGAACGTTTGTCTATTAGATAGGATATAGGTTAAGCTAAAAGACTACCTGAACTTGTGTGTATTATATAGGATATAGGTTAAGATGCCACTGTTACGTATTACAATTTCGAAAAGTCTGAAACCAAACTAAATGATACTTTAAATTTAGTAGTTAAATTGTACTTTGGATTTAGCAGTTAAGTAAAAGCCGATATATAGTCAGTTTATGTATATTTGCCTAACAAGATTGATAACACACAGTTTTC